AAATGGGGAAGTCTTTTTCTTCTCTCTTTTTGTACAGATAAAGGTAGGCAAGTCAAACGTGATTGGGATGTGAATGATAAGAATTATAATCCCAATATTATACATATATTTTTAATGAAAAGGGTATTTTCGAAACTATATAATTAATCTTGATGACAGTTGGATACAATAAAAGCAATTTCATCATTCCAAGTTTTCTTTTTCCTGATGTCAAGTGGAATCACTAAATAGCACATGTTTTGTATTTAACATAAATTAAATATGTGAAAGTTTAAAAAAAAAATTGTTCATAACATACCAGCTCTTTATGGGAAACTGGCAGTTTTGTATTTAATGCACTATTTAACCAAATTTTATATTTAAACAAATTAACGAAAATTAAAATAACGTATTTGAAAGTTGCGCTTTTTAAAATAACATATTTGAAATTTACGAAAATTAAAATAACGTAGTTGAAATTTTGAGTCTTAAATATGAAAAATTGGTTAAATAGCGCATAACATACCAACTCTTTATGGAAAATTGGCAGGTTTTATAGTATATTTTGTACTAGTTCTTTATAGGAAAAATTGGTTAAATGGCGTCGAAAAAAAACTAGTATGTTTTGTATTTAACATAAATTAAATATGTGAAAGTTAAAAAAAAAAAAAAAGAAATTGCCCATAACATACCAGCTCTTTATGGAAACTGGCAGGTTTTGTATTTAATGCGCTATTTAACCAATTTTTCATATTTAAACAAATTTATGAAAATTAAAATAACGTATTTGTCCAAATCTCAGGGATCAATTCGTTATTTGGTCAAGTCTCAAGGGAGGTAAATGTAATTAACCCTTTTATTTTTCTTGATGTCAAGTAGAATCACTAACGTCTCTTAACAGCAGAGGGATAATTGTTAAATGTCTGGTTATTCAAAAGGGTGGACTGTTATTTGTCCAAATCTCATGGATCGATTCGTTATTTGGTCAAATTTCAAGGGAGGTAAATGTAATTAACCCATAAATTATGGATTCCAATCTCAGGTGTTAAATTTATAATGAATAAAATATTACCTTATTTTAAATAAGACTCGTAAATCTGGTTTGTTAAATTATACCCATAGTTATTTATTATACAGGTATATTATGAATACTTACTAACTAAGGTACTAAGTTTTAATCATTAATAAAACATCTTATCATTATTTCAAATAAACTTTCTAATACTACTTTGAGATAAGGTTTTAATGTAAAAATTGTACATGTATTCCAAAAAATGGTAAATTTTGATCCTTAATCATTTTTATTACCATGTTATTAGTAAGAATTACTATTTATGTATAAAAACTTACTATTATTTGAACTAAACTTACTCATTTAAAAGTAAGTTTGGGATATAAAATAGTAATCTATTTATTTAAAAATTAAGTTTAATATTTATTCCAATTTACCTTTTGAGGTATAAAAGTTACTAATTTATTAGGCTTAACTTACTATTTTAGATAGGAAACTTACTTCCATAATTTTAGGTGTTATTCAATTTAGGTGAATAGGTCCAACAATAAATCAAATGATCGCTAAAAGTGCAACAACATGTTATATTAGGTAAAAACTATTTCGCTACCATAACTATCGTTTAGTATATCTATATGTATTGCTGCGGGGATTTTGGATAAGGAGCTTCCAAAATTGTCAAAAGTTTGAATGCTATTTTAATAGAATTTTACATTTTTATAATTAAAAAATGTTTATCTCTTAACTAATCATGTAACCGCTCCTACAAATCCTATAATCATGCTCATATTTTTCCCACATTTCCCTCACATTTTTTCCACTACTCCATAAAATTCAAACTCCTAAAATTAACTAACAGATAATAACCACTCCTGAAAAATGATAGCTGCAAATTTCAATTCACATCTCACATTTATTACTGACACTTATTATATCACTGATAGTAATAACTAATCTTTAATTTAAGAAATTCGCAACTACAAAAGTCAAATATCCAAAATTTAGTAACCTGTTTAAATTACAATTTTCACAATTCAACGTATCTTATTGTCATAATATAATTTACTCTCACAATCATTCACAAATTATAAAGGGATTAAAAAATAAATAATTTTTAATAAAAAATTAATTCAAAGGTAGCTAATTCACACACACACGCATACATATATACATATATATATATTCTCATAATATAAACTAAAATTATAAAAATATTATGAGGGCTAACTTTTTTTTACACAAATATTTACACAATATGAATTTAAATTTTTAAAACTTTGGGAAGAAGGGACCTATGGCCCCGATTAGCCCCTATTAGTTTGGGAGTGTTTGGATAGCAGATTTTTCCAAATAATATTTTACTTACATCATAAACACATTGTTCAACCCACCTAATCTCACATACATCATATCACAAAAAGTACTATTGTAATTATTTCAAATAATATTTTAAATAACACTCTATCCAAACAAATTTCAATAGCGTCTTAGTTCCAAACCTGCAAGATTACAAAAGAGAAAATAACTGATCACAAAATGAATTTTACACTATGGTGATCCCACCCAAATGTAATTATTTCACACACACGCGCACACATATATACTTATATATATTCTGATAATATAAACTAAAATTATAATAAATTTGGAGGACCTGTTTTATTTTACACAAATATTTATATAATATGAATTAAAATTTTTAAAACTTGGGGAGGAGGGCTATGACCTCCATTAGCCCCCATTGGTTCCATTATTGATTTCAATGGCATCTTAATTTCAAACCTACAAAATTACAAAGGAAAAAAAAAACTAATCACAAAGCGAATCTCACACCATAGTGATCCCAATGAAATATTTTAAAAAGATTCAGCAAGTTCACTTCAAAAAAAATACAAGTCTTGTTGAACTTTTTTTGTAGTACGAATTCTTCAAAATTCAATAGAATTGATTAAACCACCAATATTATTTTTCATACTAAAAGTTGATTGGTGTAAAAAATGTTCGCACCTTTGTACAAGATTATCAAATTGAATGCATAATGTTGGTAAGTATTCCATTTTAAAATCAAATAAAACATGCAATTACATTTATTTCTATCCATATATTATTCATTTTCTAATATAAATTATTATTATTATTTTAAGATCCATCTTCCGCAAAAACACAATTCTTGAATGATTTATAGTTTTTGTCATACTTTGAACTATTGTTAGACAAATCTTAAATTTTCATTATGTTGGTATAATTTTTTTAACTTTTTTCAAATTAAAATGGTATAATTTTTTAATTTATTTTAATAATGTAAGCACCGTGCGTAGTACGAATATTCACACTAGTTGTCCTTGTATGACCGAGCCTGAGAGTTTGAGCATGTTTTGGTTGAATGTTATAATTCAAAATTTGGGGTTTGGAGGGAATAGGTTATATCCATTATAATCAAAACTCAAACAAAAGTGGGGATAAGCCTGATTGTCACAATGAACTATATAAAGTGGATTTTTTTATTTATTTGCACAATGCTACCTTATTTTTACATGCATCAGAATGGATTGATTACAAGTTGCATTTGCTTGTCTTTTGCTAGAATTTTGGCTAATTAACAAATTATACTAATTGTAGAAAAGTAAGTTTGTAATCATTTTCAATTTTTGAAAAGTTTGAAAGTTTAGATAATAATAACAACAAATCTTCCTAGTTACATGTAGAATATCACTTGTTTCTATATCATAATTTTTATAACTTAACACCTATGAATATAATAAGATAAAATTATTATTTTATAATACGATAAAATTTTATTATTTTCTAAGGTTATGTGAAAGGTCAAAATATTTTTCACAAAATATTTTAAAATATATAAGTACAAAAGAATATTAAATTATACATATAATCATTCATTATACAAGTATGTTACGAGTACTTACTAACTAATGTACTAAATTTTAATCATTTATAAAATATTTTATTGTTATTTCAAATAAGCTTCCTAGTATTCATTTGGTATAAGCCATAAAGGATTGAGTGATTTGAGTTAGCTGCTTCTGTGTTAATTTTGATTGTGGTTAACAAACTCAATGATTTAGCCTGTTTAACTTAGGCTAGTGGGAAAATGGGTCACAGTTGGCTGGAATAAAATTGTAATAAACCTGTTTTTCAATAAAAAAAAAAATGAACTCTTTATGACTTTTCTCCATTATAAGAACAGAGTACCCATTTTCCAAAAAAAAAAAAAATTTATTTATCAGATAAAATAAAAATAAACCCATTTTTCAATAAAATCCTAACTGTTTATGCCTTTCCTCTATTATAAGAACCGTGTACCCATTTTGCCATAAATAAATTTATTTATCGGATAAAAAAAATTTATTTATCGAAAAAATAAAAATGAACCCGTTTCTCAATAAAACATCAGCTCTTTATGGTTTTCCTCCCTTATAAGAAAAAAGTATCCATTTTGCCATAAATAAATTTGTTTTAAATAAAATAAAAATAAACTCTTTTTTCAATAAAAAACCAGTTCTTTATGACTTTCCTCCATTATAAGAATATAGTACCCATTTTTCTAAAAAAAATATTATTTATCGAATAAAATAAAAATGAACCTGTTTTTCAATAAAACACAAGCTCTTTATAGTTTTCCTCTATTATAAGAACAGAGTATCCATTTTTTCATAAATAAATTTATTTATCGAATGAAAAAATAAATATATTTTTCAATAAAATACCAGTTCTTTATGATTTTTCCTCCGTTCACAACAAAAAAAAGGGTATTAGCGGCAAGGACTTTTTCGCTTAAAATTCTCGCCAAAAGGAGCGCGGGAAAGCTTCCCTCCAAATACTGATTCTAGTGGGCCAAAGTTTCTATGTTATTGGTGAGAAATCATGGGTGTTTTTTTGTGAAAATTTCAAAATTTTGCTCCCTTCCAATTTTTAGCAGAGCCGCACAGTGAAAATTTTTTAACCATTCCCAACACAGCACTTGTCAAGCCTAGCACCACATGAATTCCAAGCCTTCCATACTTGCAAGGCTACTTTCCCAAATATTGTTCTCAGATCAGAGCACTTGAAAGTTCAATCGCAACCTTCCCTGCACCTTTCTCCTTCTATCCCTCTTTCCCTCTCTATCAATTTTCAGTTTCCCGTAGACATATGGTTCCTCTCTTCCTCTCTAGCATCTAGATCTGAATTTATACAATCATGGACACACTTTAAAGACCCTTCCGATGCAATGGCAGACTTCAAGGAAAAGCGATGGTGTAGGTTTTTTAATATGTTATTTTCATCTCTGTTTTGTCAATTGCCTTTTTCTTGCATTTTTGGTCAATTTAACAATCGCAAGATAAACTTTTTGAAATTGTAGACTTCTACTTCAGTGGATTAGAGTGAAATGCTTATCTCAGTTAGAGTAGAGAAATGGGTCTTACTGGAAGGCAAAATGAAAACGGCCCGTCAAAATTGGATCTTGAACATCTATCAGTTTTTAAGAGTTTGTGTGAATTTTGGATTTTTTTTTCCTGGTTTTATTCTATGTGGTCTTGTCTGTATGATTGGAAAGTTCAATTTCTGATGTACTTTCAGGGGGGTTTGGCTGTAGCAGCAGGGAAGTAGGGAAGTGGGTGGCTTTCCGGTGGCACCGCTGGCTCAGTATAACCCATTAGATGAGCCGAGTCCATTGGGATTGAGGCTGAGGAAAAGTCCTTCCCTTTTGGAATTGATCCAAATGAGGCTTTCTCAAGCTATCTCACCTAAGGGTGAAAGTTCCAGTAAAAAAGAGCTTAAAGGGGCCGCTGCTTCTGGTTCCTCTGAGAAGCTCAAGGCTTCAAATTTTCCAGCAACTATTCTGCGAATTGGGACCCGGGTGGTATATTTATACATTTGCATTGGATCATGGATTTTAGAAACTTGTTTTATTGGATTGCTTGTGATTTCGTTAATTTTGATTGCATGTCTTTGTTCTAATTTCTAGTATAAGTCAAGATATGGAGGGGATTTGGTAGCAAAGTGTTATTTTGCAAAGCATAAGCTTGTACGGGAGGTTCTTGATGGCGGGCTCAAGAATAAGATTGAAATTCAATGGTCTGATATAATGGCTTTGAAGGCGAATTATCCTGATGACGGACCGGGGACTTTGGATGTAGTGGTATTAGCAACACTTACTGTGTCTTTGTTAATTACTTTGTATGTTGTTATTATGAACTTTTTATAGTGAAAACATGTTTTTTCTTTTTAATGGTGTAGCTTGCAGGACAACCTCTTTTCTTTAGGCAGACAAATCCACAGCCCAGGAAGCATACCCTGTGGTAGGCAACATCTGATTTTACTGGGGGTCAAGCCAGCATACAAAGGTATGGTAATCTCTCATTCATTCACGAGTTTATTGTGTTGCCATTTTTAAATGGCACTTTTTAGGCAACAAGCTACTTGTTCCGTACTGTATGTGTCCTATTTGTTTATTTATGTAGCAAGGAGTTTTTGTTCTCCACCCCCACATTTTGATTTGTACCATTTGAGTTACTTCATTAATTTGTTATTTCTTAGGTGGTTCTTTGACTTTCTCAGTAACATCTCAGCATTATATAGATAGCGATTTGTTATCACCACATCTATACTGCCTTGACCGCAGATGTATCTGAACAATAGTCTGCATACACCTCTCTTCTCTGATGTTGACTTCCAAGTTCCTATCTTACGAGCTTTTAGAGAGAAATGCTGACTTTTATGAGTATCAGCGACTCACGACTGAATCAATTGTTGGACTTACTCTATTCTAGCCTTCTGTGCTTTTAGCATTTCTCCCTTTATCACCAAAGAGATGATTTTTTTTTTTAATTGGGTGGGGGAGAAGAAACAGGGGAGAAGGGTAATCCCGAATTGGACATTTGAAATATATTTGGTAGCTTTTTGATACTAAAGGTATTAAGAGATGAGAGATGCTCTAATTTTTTTTTTTTAAAGTGACAGTTTTTTCTTTTCGTTGTTTTGCTCAATCTCTGGAGTCTAAGTGCAATACAGCAATGGTCTAACTCACCGTTGATTGGCATTTTTTCTGGGATTTCTAGCAGGCGTCATTTTCTGCAGTGTCGACAAGACTTGTTGGGAAAGCATTTCGAAAAGCTTATTCAATGTGATCCTCATCTTAACTTCCTGAGTAAACAAGGAGAGATAACGTTGGATTCTCCATATTTTGAACCCAGAATCTCTGTGTTTGATGACCCAAGTGAAAACAAAGCTGCATTTGATTTGAACAATCATGAGAGTCCCACTTTCTTCAACCTGAGGGGATGCAGCATCACCATCAGGTGGTCAATCATCATCTTCGAGGAATGAACAAGACATTGTTAGTAGACCTCGAGAAGACATGAAACACCATCACCCAGCTCAGGTAACCGGTCCTTTTAATAGTCTTGAACCAAAATTTGATATTCACTAAAAGTTTCTGACCAATAGAAATGTAAAATGTCATTTTCATTTGATTTATAATCTGTACAGAGTATTTCTTTTCCTCCAAGGAGGTTTATATATGTAGTCGCGTCTCTCTAGTAGTATTTGACTCTGTGCTTTGGTTTATTCAGAAATGGATACGCATGTAATTGAAGAAATAAAAAATGGTGGAGGAGAGCAAACATGATATGGCTATGAAGCTCTTACAAGCTACTTCGATTATGGACTTCGCCAATTAATGCAAACATGATATTCATTGTATATTGGCACAGGGTCTATCTTAGCATTTGTTATCCTAAGCAATTTTGGTTGTACATATTAAAGCCCAATTAGAATTTGATTTGAGTATCTTTGTGCTTTGTACTGTTGATAGTATTGGTTGTAATATATTATTGCTCGTTTTGTATTTGTAATGACAAATTGGTTTGTTATTTCGTATACAAATTTTGCTATATCTCAATATTGACATTAATGATACCTCTTGCTAAAAAAATGGTTGAAAAAAAAAGTAGCAACTACAGTCACAAAGCTGCTTTCGGCAACTTTTTTGCAAGAAAATCATTTAGCTGCATTTGATCGTCTTTGGTAAGGGGTCGATGGTTTCCAATAAAACACCAGCTCTTTGTGACTTTCCTCCATGAATTTTCTATTTTTCCTTTTTTCACTGAAGTAATTTATTACTTGGATAAAATCAGAAACTCCATTATAAGAAAAGGTTTGGCGGGAATAAGTTGTAAGCAATCCATGACAATTACCGCCTCTACACACATGTGAAGGAACAGGGGCTATGACAATTTGCTATATGTACTGTGCAAATCTTATCCCATTGAAAATCACATTGAGAGGTGGGCTAGCATTTTGCTATATCTCAATATTGACATTAATGAGTTTATTTTTATTTTATCCGATAAACAAATTCCTTTTTGCCTTCAAAATGAGTACTCTATTCTTTTAATAGAGGAAAGTCATAAAGAGCTGATGTTTTATTGAAAAAATGGGTTTATTTTTATTTTATCTGATAAACAAATTTGTCTGAGAAAAAATGGGTACTCTGTTCTTAAAATGGAAGAAAGTCATAAAGAGCTGATCTTTTATTAAAAAACGGGTTTATTTTTATTTTATCCGATAAATAAATTTATTTATGAAAAAATGGGTACTCTATTCTTATAATGGAGAAAAGTTATAAAAAGTTGGTCTTTTATTGAAAAATAGATTTATTTTTATTTTATCTGATAAATAAATTTATTTATGAGAAAATGGGTACTCTGTTCTTATAATGGAGGAAAGCCATAAAGAGCTAGTCTTTTATTAGAAAATGGATTTATTTTTATTTTATTTGATAAATAAATTTAATTATGAAAAAATAAGTACTCTGTTCTTATAATGGAGAAAAGCCATAAAGAGCTAGTCTTTTATGGGAAAGTGATACTTTACGGAAAATGACCACGATTTGGTTTATGAAATAATCCCAAATAAAAATTTAGAATGAATTTATTTGTTTTGAAAGTTGTATAACGGTCGTTAAAACTCCAAAAATTGGCAAAAACATTTTGGAGTTGCAGAAAGCCAGAGGGAAGAAGGAGAAGAATTGACCTTTTTGTCCGTTGCAACTATTCCTTTAAAAATGGCTTCATTCGGTTTTGTCCATTTTTTGTTGGGTAAAATCGTTGGTTTTAACGATCAATTTTTCATTTCTCGTCAATTGTCCTTAATTGGCCAAAATTACGAAACTTTGAGGATGCAATATGTTTGGGGTGAAACTTTGAGGATGAAAAGTGCATTTTTTTTCTATAAGATATTTAATCAAATGTTATTTCTTATCTTAATTTTAGTTATGACTATACTACATATTTATTAAATAGACATACCTTTATAATTAAAGTTAATATTTGATATTTTAGGATGCCATATATTTAAATAGATGAAAATTATTTTGAACATAACATATTAAAATAATTTTATTTGTCAATCATTTTGGCCCTCCCTCCAAGGAAAAAATCTTGGTTTCGTCACTGCCTAGGAGGAAATTGGGGTCTATTGCTAACAAAAGATTGTGAAAATTTACCTTTATATCCTAATTATTTGGAAAAATCTAATGAACAAATTTTGCAAAAGAAGCTTTGTTTCTTACCAACAAATTAAGTAACTAATAAAATCACCTTTAATATTGCTTTAACATATTTAATTTATGTTAAATACAAATTTACCAATTTCTCTTTTGTAAAAATATAAGTGTATCACTTTTTCAATTTTAATTACAAACATTTATGTTTTTTACATAAATGTAGTGATTCAGAGTAAAATGCCCATAAATAGCTAGTATTTTGTTAATGTAATGCAAAAAATTCATAAAGAGCTGGTATGTTATGGGCGCAATCTTTTTTACTTTCACATATTTAAAAATTGTTAAATACAAAATTTACTAGTTTCCTTTTTGTAAAAATATTAGTGTAACACTTTTTCAATTTTAGTTACAAACATTTATGTATTTTACATAAATGTAATGATTCAGAGTTAAATGTCCATAAATAGCTAGTATTTTGTTGATATAATGCAAAAAAAATTATAAAGAGCAAGTATGTTATGGGCAATTTATTGTTTACTTTCAAAATCAGTTTATGCTAAATACAGGACAATCAGTTTACCTTTCACAAAAATATTAGTGTAACAGTTTTTCAATGTTAGTTATAAACATTTATTTATTTATTTTACATAATTGTAATTATTCAGAGTAAAATGCCCATAAATAGATAGTATTTTGTTGATGTAATACCCATAATCGGGAGAATCAATTGGAATCCATTATTCCTCAGTCTTGGACGCTTTATGTAAAGGAGAGATATTTGTATTCAATTAAATATGAAACATGCAACAATCTGTCTTCCCATGAACCCAGTTTCCACAAATGTTAATATTTTACTAATATAACAATTAAAATCAATTTCAATAATTCAAATTTAGTAGGTTAGATAAAAGTTGTTAGAAAAGTGAGAAACCAAAAGAAAAATAACTCAAATTTATTAAAAGTCCAAAAAGAATTTAGTACTTCAGCTCTAGAAATCCTCCAAATGACTATATATTAGAACAGCGATAATCAAAATAGATTACATAATTAAAAAACTTAATGTTTCAAACATTTATTTTCTTAAGTTTCACTTTTTAAAGGCTCTCAACTCGTTATTCAATAATGTCCATACGTTGTTTCAAAACTAAGCATGACTGTGTTTAGTACTGCTTACGCTTCCTCTTCGGTGTTTTATTTCTAGACCCATTATATATATGTTAATTCCGTGACACCCTAATACATTTTCAGCTTCTGCCATACACAATATTTCTAAACCGGCCCGTGCCTGTTATAGGTCACAATTTGCTTTTGTAAACATATTCCTTTCATCATCCGTACATGTCAGTTTCTTTGACATATTCTTTACCTTTCCACGTGCCTGCTTCTTTACCATATTTTTTACCTTTCCACACCTGTCTTTGGATTACATGAATACATTACAGAATTTACCTTAGAATTGTATTATATATATATATATATATATATATATTTAAATGTATGTAGGGACGGGCAGGGGATGGGGCGGATGTGTGTTGCCCCACCCCCATTTTAAGATGGGGGAAATATTTTGCCCTGTTCCCGCTCCCGCCCCATTTCTACCCTTTCGGGCACCTACTCCTTTGCCATCCCTACTTGTGAGCCCTATTTTCCTTCCGATCACATGATGAATTGGAAAGTGATTTCCACCAACCGGTCTAAATAGTTGTAGATCAGGTGTAAGATGTGTGCCTTTCTAATTGGACACATATATGACTTTTTATCTAGCGAGCAGTGGTTCTATTGCAGTCTAATTTCATTGTCAATTAACAAGACCATCAAGCTGCTGGCACCTTTGCACACTGCTGGGCCATTTCTGCTTTATTCCTCTCGATTCTTTTTACACTCATAGCCACTGCTGCATCAAGTAAATCACATCCCAGACGAGAAAACAAGAATTGGCTTGAGCCCACAAGTTGTACTCATTAGTAGTGTAGCGTTCCTAAAGGAGGTGGGGAAGAGAAGAGAAGGGGGAAGACGGTGGTGAAGGGGGATGACGGCGAGGAAAGAGGAGTGGGAAGGTGAGGATAATTTTTAAAAATTTTAAAATACTCTAAAAAATTTAAAATTTTTAGAAGTACCCAAGATGTTTAGGCAAAGTGAAATCAAAAGAAAACAAAAGAAAGAGAAAGCCATATGGAAATTTCAACACCAACAAGAAAAGGAAGATAAAATGAAAAAAGGACAAGAATATTAAAAAGAAAAAAAATTATACATAATTCGTAGGTAATGAGGTTGCAAGTCTAATTCCGCGTCACAAGGAACTTATGTGGACATTTCGAAATCATAAAATGGCCAATTGTCTTTCCGCGAAACCACACGAAATTTTTCTACATTTTATCCAAAATAATATTATAATTATGAGGCTAACTCGGGATGGAGTAAGAGACAAAAGTTGCTTGCAGCATTAGAGATAGGGAGAAAAGAGTGATGCTAGAGGTGACAATTGGTCTGAGTGAGTCCCAATATACATTTGCCGTTAGATTTAGTAAGTAGTTTTTACATTTCACTAAAAATAGCTGTGACATTAAAATTGTGATTATGGCATTATCAGCTCCCCACAGTTGTGGAAAGGAATCGATAAACAGTTTGATTGATCAAGAAGGAACAGGACCACTGGACACAGTACACGTTGTATTCATCACTACAACTGACATTCATTTATCAAATCTTTAGAATTTGACCTACAAAAACAAGATCCAAGTCCAAAGACGTAGCAAGAGGCTCACTTCAGTCCCTTAAAAATAAATCTTAACAGCTCCTCTTAATTCTTATGGAATTTTACCACTTTTGCATTGAAGTCCTTCTCTTGCTCCCTCTAAGTTCTTGATCTAATACTCCTATATATTACTTCACTTGCTTTACTTTTGCCTTATAGAAAAATTTAATGTCTGCTCTTCATAAGACTTGCACAATATTTACTTTCAATATTCGCGAGTTGCATTCCTTTCGTACATTCTGGCTCAGCCACTACTGAAATCAAAACCCAAGGACTACTAGAAGGCAAAAAAAGAAATCTTGCTGCCAGTAACTTGTGCAAGCAAAATTCAATCCATTCCTTTTCTTCAATCTCTAGCATATGTTTGCAATCGCTATATTTAGTTTGACCACAAATGCTGAAGTAGTATATACTTTTACTTCTTCCAGGCTAATATTACATCAAAGTAGAATTAGCTTTCTATTTCTCAAAGTACTTTTGTGTATCTAGTTTTGCATAATTGCCTAATTCCTGTTACTATTAATGTTCAGATGTGCTACATTAATTTTTCCGTGCAATGCATTATCTGAGAACTCCTGCGTAGCCAGCTAGTGCTTATGAGTTTAAGGGTGCGTTTGATAACACTGAAAT